TTCATTTTTAAATAGAATAAAACAGGTGAATTTCTCAGTCTACTGTCCAGGTTATAGTCACATGGAGTTCAACCCTTTGTTGAAACCTCAATGAGGAAACAAACTAATCCCAGACACAAACTCCGGAGCTTTTGAGCAGCTCGTGTTTTTCTTCAGCTGAGGGGAAATCTGTGGATCACTGAAATCACCAGAAACAAACAATATGACTTTTTAAAACATAATTTATTCCAGATTGGAGCTGTCGTACATAGACGGGAATTTGTCTCTTTGGGTTTTACATCTGATCCAACGACTCAAGAAATGATAAATATAAAGTAGAAACATTCACAAATGAAGCTCGATTCTTTATGGAATCCTCAGATTGTTGCTGCAGGTTTCATTCAGTGACTGCGATGGTTGTGAAAGGAAAGTGAAGCGTAGCCGAGCTCGGCTGCTGCGTCTAATAACACACACGTGGCTCAGGTTCAGTCCTCGAAGCTTCTGTCGTGCATCGCTTCTCCTGGTCCGGGGCCTGGTCGAGGTCCTGGTCTGGGTCAGGACCAGCGGACCAGGACCTGGTCTCCCTCCTCTATGGAGTAAAACTGTAGAGGCTTCATGTCGCTGTCGAGCTCAAACTCGGTCCCGAGCTTCTAAAGAGAAACAAAGGTTTTGACCATCAACAGGACGAGTTTCAGCTCAAACTAAAATCATCATTTATTTAACTCTCAAATAAACTGTGTGTGTCTGTTCACTGTGTGTGTGTGTGTGTGTGTGTGTGTGTGTGTGTGTTACCTTGGGAGTGCAGTAAGTGAGTCTCAGATCTGTTACAGGAACCTTCAACAGTCTCTGCAGGAGACCCTTCACCTTCTGAACCAGCATGGAGGCTGCAGACAGTGAACACACACAGTGAACACACACAGTGAACACACACAGTGAACACACACAGTGAACACACACAGTGAACACACACACACACACACAGAACATCTTCCACTCTTGTTGACCTGGGACAGTTTTCTGGACGGGCGTCCGCTCTGCGTCTTCAGGAAACAGGAAGGTGATCTCTGTTGCGAAGAGAAACATCAGCACAGTAAAT